ATTAAAGGTGTGCGCCACCATTGCCCGGCAGATCCACTCTGATGAAGAGAGTTTTATTGAAAAGGAGCAAAGGGAGAAAGGAAAAATACAAAATGTATGGTTCAAGTCTTAGAGAGGTACCAGGAAATGGAATGGAGCTAAATCTCGTGTTCAAGGAGACAAAAAGATTAAGGGAGTGATGACCTCAGAGCAAGATCCCACCCAGCTAAGCTTACTGTTCTTTTGCAGTTGAACAAGGGATAGTCCTATCTAGGGATTATTATTACTTGGTTATTGTTTTCATTTGGAATTTTAATCTGAAATGAACTACAATCCAGAAATGCTTTTGATCTGAATCTTGAGAAACAGTGGCCATGAAAAACTTAGGTCCAGGCATGGTGGTATACACCTTTAATCCCAGGAGACACAGGCAAGCAACTCTGCAATCATGGCCAGCCTGGGGCAGAGCAAGTTTTAGGTAAAGAAAAGCTTAAAGGTGTGGTGGTACATGCCTTTAATCCCAGCATCCCAGAATCCCAGGAGACAGAGCCATGTACCTCTCTGAGTTCAAGATGAGTTTGCAGAACAAATTCCAGGGCAGGCAAGCTTAGACAGCGAATGAGTTGGAAAATAGAAAGCTGGTGATAATGTAATAGAACAAGGGGCCATGTTTCAGCTCCTGCAAGCAGCAGAACTCAGCAGCTTTGGCCATGTAGCTCTGGCTTTGGAGTCAAGAATAGAAGAGACTACTGGGACAATTGATATGGTTAGCTGGAACTAAGAAATTAGTGGTGGTTAAGAAGAGACTAGAATCACTGAGGTGAAATCTTCTGGGAAGTGCTTTCTGAGATCACAAAGAAGCTGTGTTCCAGAGATAGCCAAGATTGTACCTTGTGCTGCAACTGAACTTGGTAATGTGTAAGAGTCACCAGGTGGTACTGCTTTTGTAGACATGAAGAAGTCATGAAGGACAGCTGAGGCTTGGTTCTATGAGAGGTCATGGAAGGCCACTGGTGAAGGTGCAGCCTCAGTTGCAGTTGATGGCCCAGGACTGAAGGGGTCAAGCATAGAAGTTGAGGCTTAGCACCATGAAGACAGCCTATGAGAGGCTATTGGTGAAGCCTGGTTGCAGCAGAGTATTCCAGCAAATTGGAAATGATGAACCAAGAACAGCAGCAGCAGTGGAAGGGAGTCAAACAGAGCCTAGAGTTCTACAGATGGCAGAGCTGGGGAAGGGACCCACACCGTTTGGAGGAGCTCAGCTCACGTGTGGATCCCAGACATTGGAACAAGAAGCTGTAAAGTTGAAGCTGCTTTGGATACCCCAAGATGTTCAAGATGCCAGAGCTATGGGATACCTGCAGAGGAAAGCTACTAAGAAGGAGTGGAACCAGCCCAAGAGAATGAAGTTTGTTGCTGCTGAATCCCAGATCTGCCAACAGCAGTCACCAAGGATGAAAGGGGTTGGGATCTGAAGAGTGCTTTGACATTGGACATGGAGAGGAAGAGTCTGGAGTTTGCCCAGATGGTTTCCTGTCTTGCTTTGGTCCAGTATTTCCTCACCATGAATCGTAATGCTGGAGGTATGCGATCTGCTTTTTGGTTTTGTTTTCTTAAGCAATTATGGTTGAGAGATTGCATGAATCTTTGAACTTTGGACTTTTAACATTGTCAAGACTGTTACAGAGTATGGGACTTCGGAAGTTGGACTAAATGAATTTTACATTATACTATGGCTAGACATGGCCCCCATAGACTCATGTGTTTGAACAAGCCTATGGGGGCTAGGGAGTGGAATGTGGTGGTTTGAATATGTTTGGCCCAGGAGGTGGCACTATTAGGAGGTGTGGCCTTTGCAATATTCCGACATGCAAAGAACCAGTGAGGTTCACCAGGTGAGTTAGTTCTTTTCCCAGGAGACTGCTGGTAAGAGTTAGGGACTGGGGCTGAGCTGAGCATGCTCGTGTCACTCTGGAAGCATCAGCATACTCCTGCTGGTGTTGATAAAGATTGTTCTTAGGAGACTGGAGTGCTTGATGCTAATCCACAAGCTTTCATTCTGCAGTCAGCTCTCAGAAACTGCGGCCCAGGAGCTGCCAATACCCAGAAAAACAGGCAAAGCGGACCTATAGCAGGCATCCCTCAGGGAAGGGTTGTTCATGGGACAGAGGGGAAGCCCACAGGCTCCAGCTTCTCATCCCGAGCTATACCTACTCAATATTCTCATTCTACTTTCTAGGTTTATTCTCCTCTCAGCTACATAAACGCTGACTGGTTGCCCAACATAGCTGTGGGACCCGCTCATTAAGGATTGGTGTGTGATCTGAAGGAGAACGGTGCCGGGGCAGCATTCACAGAGAAGTCACTAGAAAGTGCCCCTGGCAGACATCGTGAAACCCGAAGCGCGGTCCACACAGGAAGCCCTAAGGAGCCAAACAAATATGGAGCAGAATGGAAGGGATCCGATTTCTGGAATCCTCCCCAGAGTCAAAACAACACACTGACAATAAAGGAAAAGGTAAAGATGATGGCACGGAAGTCCAGAGCATGGCCATCAGAAGAGCACTGATTCTCAGGGTAAGCAAGGTGGAGCCTCCAGAGGAACCAGAATGCTCTCCTCAGTGGTACAGACTGATGGTCCCTGAAAAGGCCTCCCTCTGTGGTACAGCCTGCAGAATTATTGACTTCGTGAATGTGGGGCAGTGGAATGCAACAGATTGAGAGACAAAGTGGCCTTGGGCTTCCTTGAAGCCCTTAACAGTCACTTACCACAGGTTTCTGCACCTTACCTAACAGGTTCATGTCTGTCAGGCAAAACTTTCAGAACAGACCATGCTGGTGAACTTAGCATACCACGGCTTCTTCCAGCCCTCAAGCTAAGGCTGTGGTCTGACAGCACCTGAGGACTGCGTAGCAGTTCACTTTGCTCTGAGATATCCAACCCATAGGATGTCCCTGCCAATCTACCTAGTAAATAAATGCACAGACTTCTGAATCTTTTGTCCTTGTTCACCAACTCCAAAAGTTTGCGTAGTCCCTCCCACAGTGGGATATGTCCTTCTGGGCAACTCAGATCTGTGTCCCATGTCATGGTCACTCAAGTTTGGCTCAGAAACAACTCTCTCTTGTCCCCTTTGGAGGAAGAGCTGTGATTTGTATCAGTAGCAGCTCTCAGAGTGTGGAGCTCACTTTGGTTCTTGCTGCAGGGAAGGCAGTGTCCTTAAAAGATGCTGGTGGCTGGCTCTTCTTTCAGATGTCCTTTGTATGACATACCATGCTGTGGACTGGAGGAAGTACTGTGCATAGCTGTGTGCCCTGAACGATGCTTGCCAATGCACAGGCCTGGCAAGCATAGCCCTAGAGTCTTCTGGAAGACCTTGTGGTAAGCTTGAAAATGTAGGTAGTTGGGTCTGGGTAGAGGGCCAGTAGTCTTTAGTTTCAAAAGCATACTTAGCAATTCTCCATGTTCCAGGGGGCTCCAAGCTGCACTTTAAGGACGTGGCAAGTAGAGATCATGTTAGAACTGAGTTGATCCCCAGTCTCTTGGAGAGCCAAGGCCTCTGGCCCATAAATACAGAAAGTGTGAGGGTGGTCATCTCTTAGCCTAAGCTCTGTGGGGTTTCCATGTGGCCCTAGGACTATTGAGGGCAGTGGATGTGACTGCACCAGTCAGGAAGGGACAGTCCTGGTGGGATGATGCCTGGGCTTAAATGGAACCATCTGAACAGGAATGTGCATGCTCTCAAGTCTGTTGACTGCAAAATGGAACATTCTAGAAAACTTGGCCAGCCCTCAGTTTATTTCATAGAGATATTACCACATAGTTGTTTTAAATTTTCAAAAGTCACAGAAGGTTTTCTGGGAGGTATAAGAGAAAGCCCCTTTCCAAAGCCCAGTAATGTTGAGGTCTGAACAGAGGAGCCAGGCACCTGTCTCATTTATGGCTTTGCCTCCCCTGCAGCAGGGACACAAGAACAATGTGAGCTTTAGCCTTCAGGGATATTAACAAGAGTGATGGGTGTGCGTGTGCATGTGGGGCTGGGGAGGGGATGTTCATGGCCAGAAGTTGAAAGTTGATTAAATAAATCTAACTCTTTTTCTTTATGAGAGAGTCTGAAATGCTTTACTGTGTTGATTCATGCTTGGAATGCTGATCCTCATAGCAGCGTCCTCAAATAACCTGTGAGGTAAATACTCTGTCTTTACGGAGGACTCAGGATAAGCACTTAGCGAGCACACCTCACAAATTAGTCATTTTTGTTCTTATTCTCTGTGAGGGGATGAGTAGACAGCATCACTTAACGAACTGAGTTGACATGGCAACCCTCAGTCTGGACTCTAGGGGTCGGTGGAGGACACTTTGTGTGGACATTGGGCTTTAGCGTTGTTACTACATTGACTCACCAGATGCCTGGTGCCTGATGTCATTTGTAGGAAGGGCCACTACTGTATTGTGTGTGTCTTCTCTCTTCACTGGCCCTGGACTGAGCCCTGATGATGTCACCCACTGCTGGCCACCGTCTCACCAGAAAGTTTCATTTACTACCTCAGCTTCCAGTCCAAGGGTAGAATTTCATCCCATAGAAACCACCCTTGGAAGCTGCTACACTGGCCCGCCTCACGGCATACATTAGCGTGAGAGAGCATCCCAAGTTTCGGCCGAGAAACTAGGTTAGTTTGAGTGGATGTGGGTTTAGGAGGTTGAGAAGTTTCATGCTGGAGTATAGGTGCTCACACTGCCTAGCTGGCCTCAGACTGTGCACCCTCACAGAATCCTAGACTGCCACCCAAGGCTACTATGCAGAAAGCTTCAGGGTGTTCACCCTCCCAGAAGACCAGACTGCCACTTGAGGCCACCATGCAGGAGGCCCCAGGCTGTGCACCCTCCCAGAAGTCCAGTCTGCTACCCAAGGCCACCATGCAGGAGGCCCCAGGATGTGCACCCTCCCAGAAACCTTCACGGCCACCCGAGGCCACGATGCCTGAGGCCTCAGCAATGTCTTGTCTCAGCTCATACTCACCATTTTTTTCAATTGGCACATTACAGCGAGGACAAGGCTTGGTGGTTTTCTTGATGGTTTCCTTGGATGCTTCCTCCCAACGAGCTTGCTCGGCGGCTCTTTCATCCACCCGGTAGGCCTGGGTTGATAGATACAAAAGCAGCTCAGATTTGAGACTTTATTATTGGGATTGAAGTCTGCATTCCTTGAAGTGCTGCTGTAGACACTTCTCAAAGATGAACATGCCTTCCGGCAAGCTCAAATATTAACTTGTTTGACAAGCGCTGGACAGCCATTGGGCCTGCGTGGGCACCGTGGTTTTGGCACATGGCATATGCTTATGAGCTAAGAAAGATGGCCCAGGAAAGATTGCTCAATTTTATAGCATAGAGCTCTCTATTCTGAGGGTTTTATGTGATGGTAAGGAATAATATGTAGCAAGTGGTTAATGTGTAGGCAAAGGATAAACACCTTCACGTGCCTCTTGATAGACCCTTTGTCGAGTGTGAAGTGAACACGTTAGCTTTCATCTCTGAGGCTCAGAGGCACTGATGGTGGCCAGACACTGTTAGGTAAGTGGGGGAGCCTGTGATTCTACAGTCTTCACTTCTCAGCTCCCTCCTGCATCTTCCTCTGCTTCCTTCTTGGCCCTGGAAAACGGGTGCTATCCCAGAAGGTACGGGAGAGAGAGCAAGGGGACAGAGAAAGGCTCGCTTCCAGGAATCGGCTACAGCAGAAATTAGGACTGTAGGCTCTGCGAGCAGCTGCCTGGGTTCAAATCGACTCAGATGCAAGATATTGGCAAGGATTCCACGTTCTCTCTGTGAGTCCCCTCGGATGGGAATATAAAACACGGGGTGCTGTGGGCTGGGGGTTCATGGTACATGCTCCTTGCAATGAGCACATGGCATGTGCCATTGGCTGATATCTTCAATGCCTTCAGGGTCTATAATATAAACCATGATGCCTTTGGTGCCAAATTCATGTTATCAAGGACTAGATCACCCTTGACTTTTAGCCACCCGCTGTGGGGTGGCGCCTTCCCCATCCCCCCAAAACTCATATGTTGAATACCTAATCCTGTTGAAAACTGATAGGACACCCTCAGCTGGGGCAGGGACTCCAGAAGAGCCATGCAGACCGGTGCTTCATTCTGCACCTGCCTAGTCGGTCAGACGCCCTCACATTTCCCGCTTACTTCAAGAACTGGCTAGCCCGTGTAGAGGAAGAATTGGTGGTTTTTATTTTTAGTATAAAAAGCGTTGTGATCTGGAACCGTATCTCAAAATGTTAATCCAAATAGAGTCCCTCCACCTTGACCCCTACGGCATTTATTATCTATCTATCTATCTATCTATCTATCTATCTATCTATCTATCATCTATCTATCTATCTATCTATCTATCTATCTATCATCTATTTCTTTAATACAAACACATGAGTCATTTTATTAACCAGAATAATGAGCAAAAAAATATTTCCAGGGCTACTTGGTAGCGTTGGTGCTAACTAAATGCAGCAACTTTATAGACCTGAAGGCTGCCAGCCCCATGCATAGATACTCATTAGCAAGTTTCCAGCGTGAGGCACTGGGCTTGTGAGCCAAGTCCTGCTGGAGCCTGTCCCCTGTCAGCAGAGGTGAAGTAAGAAGTCAGAGGCTGAGGCTTAGCGCGCGCCCGCACACACACACACACACACACACACACACACACACACACACACGGCACCCTACCCTCAAACCCCTCCCTCCAGGTCAGCAATCTCCACTCCCATTTTCACAGTGAGGTTGGGTTCCTGTTGAGACCCATAGTGAGCAAACTCTAACTTCAAAGATCAATCCCACTTTTCTTTTCATTTCAAGGTCTAGCCCTTTAGTTGTTAAAGTTCCCAGTCTTTGTGAATGAAGCGCTGTGAGGGAAACAGTATTTATTTCTAAGTTACAGCACTTCACGGCTTTTGTCAGGATCTTGATAGCTATGTTTCTGTTTTTGTTTTTCCCAGCAGAAAGCGAGTCCTTGCAGACCAAGGTCATGCTTGGGTCATCCTTGTAATTCCAGCCCTTGGCTTGGTGCCTGGGTAACGGGAGGGGACTCAGTTTTAGCTTAGTGACAGTCATCTGGAATAGGACCCCACGAGACACAGGAGCACAAGAGATGCTCCCATGTTGGTGGTGATTGGTACCAAGGTGAGACCGGCCAAGGGGTGGTCACTGCTATCAACTTATTTCTGTTAGCATCTGCACACGCTAAGGTCATCATCCCGAAGGGCAAAGGGACTTCCGTGATTTGTGAGTGCTTTGTCAGAGGAGAGCAGGGTTAGCCTGATTGGTGAACCCTAGGTCACTGCGAGCTTCTGTTAGCTTTGGCACATCCTATAGATAGGAGCCTGGTGATGAAGCTGTGGCTAATGAGGACTGTTTTAAGATCTGGTACGCAACACACATTTTAACTTTAACATGCATTTCAACCTTAATATGGGTGTCTTTAGTCTGTCTGAGGCACGTGTGGTCCTAAGGCCCGGTGATTCGAGTAGCTGTTTTTCATTGTCAACTTGACTGGCTTTAGAATCACCTAGGAGATACACTTCCGAAAGGGTATTTATGTGAGGGTGTTTCCATAGAGGGTTAGCTGAGGAAGGCAGGCCCAGGCTGAATGTGAATGATATCATCCCATGAGCCTGGACTGGACAGAGATGGAAAATGGAGAAAGCAAGTCTCTTCAGACTGTGAACAAAGTAAATCTACCCTTAATTGTTCTGATTCGGGATCTCAGAGATAGCACGAACCTGTTTTCCAAAGTGGGTGGTTGTACATGTGTGTCTACTTTATATATTATGGTATAAAAATTAAGCTATCTATACAGTTTCATAAAAAATATATATGTGATTGGCTATAGACATATGCATTTAACGAAGCCACACTGATAGTGAAAATTATGCAGACTGACTGACTAACCAGAACCTTTTGATTATAAAGAGACAGAATATCCAGATTCAGAGCCACAGTGATCTTGGGCTGTTGTCAGTCCCCTTAATAGCCAGCTATTATCCGCCTCGGTATCTGGCCCAACTTTATGAATATTTAATTGTGATGGCTAAAGAAAACGCCTTTATGTGCCACACACCCATTCTAAATTCCTAAAAGACAAGTTCCCAGCAGCTCTGACTCCAGGCCCCCTCCCCAGGATCATAAATACTTCGGTGAGAGCATTGCTGGTTGCTCCACCGGCTTTTGTAAACCTGCTTGTCAGTATGTAACAGGGAGTGGGAGGGCCAGCGCCTCACTAGCTGAGCTGAGTGACACAGTTTTTCATTTAGCTGAGCACTCTACAAAAAACGAGATAATTGTGCCTACCTTCCTCTCTGCATGGCACGCCTTCACTATGGCTGCGGTCCTGCTGATAGTAATTAATAAATTCATTTAACTATAATTTGAATTGAGTCTGTGGCCTTCCCCTGTAGGTTTGAACTCTGTAACATGGTAGAATCTTTGGAATATATTCTTAGCAGACTACTGCCTTCCACCAAGCCCAGAGCTAAATATGTTGTAAGATAGCATTTGAAAACAGTAGTAGAGACTTCCCACTTTAACATACACACCCTGCCGACCTGATGTTTCTACCAATGTAGCCGGTAAATGAATTGGTTCATCACATACTTTTCTTTCTTTTGTTTTTGAGACGGAGTTTCCCATAGTCGACATTGGCTTCATTCACTACATAGCTGACTCTGGCCTTGTACTCCTGATCCTCCTGCCTTTACCTCCGCAGTACTGGGATAACAGGGGTGTAGCACTATGACGTACTTTTGATTGACGACTAGAAAAGTACATGCAGCCTTTTCTATAGCAGCACAAGTCATGGAGGGCACCCAGGATTGCCATTCCCGGCCCTGACCACTCATATTGACTCAGAATAAGTTCTCTGCGATCCCCTTCATAGTAGGAGCTGTTATACGTTATTTGTTTTATAGTATATGTTATTTATTCACATTGAACAGGTTAAAATATCAAATAGTCGTATAAATGCGCAAAGTCAAATTGTCACAAATGAAAACTCTTAATTTCTTATTTCTGATGTTGCTGCAAGACTGTGATTGACATTTTAAAAAGTGTTCCAAAATTCTTCACCTCAAAATACATATGAATTATACAAAATTTGAGAAATATAAGTATGAAAAACCAAGACAGGAGTTATCCTCAGTTTCTCACTGGGAATAAGCATGCCTATACCATTGGTCTAACTCTTTCCTGCCAGAATCATTATAAGAGACTCAGGGGCTAGAGAAACAGCTTAGAGAACCAGAGGATCCTGGTTCGAGTCCCTGCACCCACACAATAGCTCACAAGCATCTATAATTCCAGTTCCAGAGGAGACAGCGCTTTCGTCTGGTTTCCTTAGTAACAGGCACACATGTGCATGTGCAGGTATAACATCCACACACACAAAATTAAATAAGCAAACGTAAAAAAAATGTTTTTAAACTGGCAGATAGGATGACAGATTAAAAGTTGTATCTGAGTGAGTGGATGCACAGACAGACAGACAGACAGACAGAGGACAATGGTTGCTGTATGACTGGGCCAATCAGCTCCTGTCAACTTCCTGACATGCCACATTCATTTGCTGTATGCCAGGGAGCTTCTCATAATAGATCCAGGGGTCTATTACTGCTGTTCCACCAGGGTGGAGGCCACAGCTGCCCTGCTAGTCAGAGGGAACTGTCTCCCTCAGTGAATAGTTCACAGGAGCAGCCTGGACCACTGGAAAGCAAACATACAGAGCAGATCCAAGTGGGGTAGGCGTGAGAGTGTGTAGCACCAAGTGTAGCCAGGAAACCTGGCCCCGAGGCAGCCTGCCAGAGGAAAATTGCCACCATTGCCAAGGTGAGGTACACAGCAGAATTACAAGCCAGCCATGGACGTTGGAGGCTGGTGGCACACAGAGATGCTCACGTGGGAAGGTCCTCCACAACCCTTCAGAGCCTAAACCACAGAAGGCCCTGCCCCTGGAGAGGTCAATGTCCAATTCATCAGGGGCAAGAACACAACTTGCTGGGAGAGGCAGGGTATATTCTGGAAGAGAATAGTCTAGGCTCAGAAATCCTTCTACCTGGAGAGACACCCATAACCAGCCTGAATTT